CGTGTCTGATTTTCTAGTTGTGTGGCCCATACATTTAATTTTGGTCAGTTAGTTATGAAACAAGACAATCTGTCTTCTCTGTTAGCAAATTATAATTAAAATTTGTGAATGTCAGCACTTTCACTTCAGGCTAAAATTTAACATTTTGCATTTTGCCTTTGTTCTGAATCAGTTTTGAAGATTTTACGTGAAATGAAATATTTATGGAAATAACCTTGAACATTTCTTTCTCTTACCTTATTTCCTAGCACTCCAGAAGTAGTAGTACATCACAAGGACACAATATAGCATCTCAAACCATGTCCTAACAGGACATGTGATGTTGTTCTGACTATGTCAACAAGATTAGAAGATGAGCAGTTAGCGGTATCTGTGTATAAATTCTGAATATTGAAATGAATTGTTCCTCTTATTGGCCTGAGCTTTCCATATTCAAGCTATAAATTGAATGAAAACCTGAAGATATTTCTCATTTTGGATTTAAAATTCTCTTCAGCATTAAATGAATGAAGAGGTGAAAAATATATCTGGGAGAAGAACCCAGTATTATAAACAAAGAGTTTCTATATATGTGCAGTCACATGTATTTCTTTATTCCTTATAAAATCCTTATTAAGTTTGCTTACTGCTTCATGCCTTCATTTACTAAATAATAATGTAATAAGTCTCTACTTGAAGGAACTTGTTTGATCTTTTTTAAGAATATAATTATTTGAGAATTTTCAAGAATTTGGAAAGTTACCTGTTCTAGTGATACCAAATTCATAAGTGGATTACACCGTTAAAGAGAAACGCATGGTACTCGGAGGTTCACTTTTATTTTTTGAGGAAGACATCATATGAAGGCCATGACTGAATTTACAAGTGTAATGATAGCTATATTAACCCAGTGAGAATTTATTACAGTAACAGACCAAACACATCAACAGATTTTACACTATGAACATAACACTGCAGTCAAAATCTGTACTTGAGCTCCAACTGTACTGACCAAAGTTAAGTGTGAGTACAGGAGACTAACAAGAAAAAGAAGAGTTCTAGAGGCACCACCTGATTATACTGAGGAGTTTCTGCCTGTAAGTAAGGGAAAAGAACAAAACCCCTCATATTTACAGTGCAGTGTTTCTTACTTGAAGGACCCAGTCCTTTGAAGAAGATACATTTCTAATGCTACAGAAGATAAGACATGTATGGTCTTGAAGAAGAAGGAGCTCAGATATGATCACATATGACCACTAGCAGTGTTAAAAGTATGGCTTTGTATTATAAGAATACCTCATAGAAGCTACCTTAATATATTAAGTGATAGGATAGTTGCTAAATATTTGTCAAGCATGTAATTAAAACAGGAGATGATTTTTTCAAACAAACTGGGTTTGTAAACATGCCAGGTAAGGAGGACAAGAAAAGGAAGAAAGAATAAATAGATGGGGTAATTATTAACATGACTTATCTCACTTTTATTAAACAGTTTCCCATGAAAGATGAGAAATTGGGGGCTACAGTAGCATATATTATATACATTTATTACTGCAGCTCTTCCATATTGCAGTGGAAGGAGATGAAGACCTGCAAAATCTCAGAAAGGCTGAATTTCAGGAGTTCTTGGGAAAAGATCCATACTGTTCTCCAGAGCAACCCCAAAAACTCGTGTAACCCAGGGAGAAAATGTAGTTTCCTTAACTGTCATGAATGGACAATGCCCACCCATGTAGCCCTATTTTCCTTGAATAATCCACATATTTCTACTATAGTTTCATCATAGTTTTTATCTAAGTTTGAATACTTTTTTTCATCTTAAAATGGTTGAATACATTCTTAGCTGATATAAAAATGCTCAGTAGTTTATAAAATGAATTAATTGTAATTGTATGCTCCCCCTTTTCCTGGATTGCCCTCATGTCAGGCTTTGAATTTTTTTCCATGCTTTCCACAGAAAATTTACATGACCATGTCTGTCCCACTGGGAAAATAAATGTAACATTGAGTTTGATTCATGTGATTTGTCAATATAATTAAATTGAATCATTATGATTTTTTGGATGTGTGTTGGGACTGTGGCCAACACAAGACATGATCAGCACTGTAGATGATCCCTGTGGCCTGGAAGATGAAATTCCAATTTTAGCAATTCTGGCCTGACCCAAAAGTCATCATGTTCCCTTAGGGGAGATAGGAATTATGCTTCTGTGACTATTTTTTTTTTTTTAATAAGGTGAGGACCAATGTCCTGCTTTCAGCTGAGGCAGAGTTAATTTTCTTTCTAGTAGCTGGTATAGTGCTGTGTTTTGGATTTAGGATGAGAATAATGTTGATAACACACTGATGTTTTGAGCTGTTGCCAAGCAGTCAAGGACTTTTCAGCTTCTCATGCTGCTCTGCCAACACAAAGGCGTGGGGCATCCAGGGAGCTGGGGAGGGGACACAGCCAGGACAGCTGACCCAAACTGGCCAAAGGGATATTCCATACCATATGACGTCATGGTCTGTATATAAGTGGGGGGTGGGCCAGGAGGCAGTTTGGCTCAAGAGCTAGCTGAGTATTGGCTTTGGTTGGTGTTGTGCATCACATGTTTTGTATAGTCTATTATTATTATTATTGTCTTCATCTTCCTTTTCTGTCTGATTAAACTGTCTTTATCTCAACCCACAAGTTTTACCTTTTTTTCTTTTCAATTCTCTTCCCCATCCCACTGCAGGGGAGTGAGCGAAGGGCTGTGTGATTGTTCTAGCTGCCGGCCAGGTTAAACCTGCCAGTTAGGCAGCATCCCTTCTGGACAGCAGAACGAACAACAGTAAAAGTGATGCCATGCACTTGGTCAGTGGGAAATACGATGCGTTAAACCTGGAAGTGCTGTAGAAAGCTAACACCCACACTGTCCATTGTGCAATTGCTGTGTTAGGCTTCATGGCTGGTTTGTTTGTTTTCCTCTTATTTAAAGGTAGTGTTGCTTTGGGTTTGGTTTATGACACCATGCCTCGCTCGGCAGCAGAGTGGCACCGAGGATCGGCAGTGCTGGTGGGGAACTGCTTGGACGTGCCTTTTCTGAAGCGGGTCGAGTGTTGAGGGACCCCAGAGTGTCCTGGGGGCTGGGGCTCTATGGGGGGGTTCATCACGGTCTCAGCTTTCGTTAATGCTGTGATTGATAACATCGGTGGGTTCGAGGACAGGCCACGGTTGTGTCAACCGTAATAGGATTTAAACTCGACACTAAACATCTGTCCGCTTGGTGCTGCTCGTCTTTCGCCACAGTTTCCGTTGGGGAGCTGCGGCCGTTGTGGCAAAGGGAAAATTTGAATAGCCCCATTTGAAAGGCTCTGGGGAGGTTACAGGGCCTCTGGGTATTTTTCTAACAGACAAGATTTTTTGAAAAGTTCAACAAAAGTTTGAGTGTATTTTCTTTTATTTTCTGCTCCTCGCGCTTTAGCTCAGCAGGCAGTTTAGTTTTGAAAGCTCACTATAACATAGCAGCTGCATTTGGACACCTGTAAGCAAAATATCCCTTGGAGGGTAATTTTCTTTATGTCAGTTCAAAGACAACTTATTAAACTCTATGCTGTAACTATTATGGGCTTCAGAAAAGGAAAAAATAAAACATTTGGGAAGTTAAAATTTACCTTTATTTTAAACTGTCAGTTTAGTGACAACTATTGTTTGCTCTAATAGTGGTTAAAAGTAGGCTGCTGCATCGCTCGTGATGGGGCAATTTAGTTGTTAGAGACACAAACCGTGGCAGGATTCGGTCCTTCGTGGGACACGGTGACATACTATGACACGTGCATGACCGTTGTTCTCAGCTGTAATCTCTATTCCCTATTTTTCTTGTAACTGTGAATTTTTCTAGGAGGCAGGTGCTGCAGTCAGCTACAGTGATCTTTTTTCAACTAGAGTGTTGCATGTCTGTCAGTGAATCGTAAATGCCCTAGAAAACCATACCTTAGTATGTTATTCCCATGGCATTTTGTGAAAGAATAAGGGGTGACTCTAAAAAACAGAATATAGGAATTCAATGTTTTCTTTGGCTTTTGCCATATTAGGATCTGATATTTCTGTGTTAAGTGGTATGTTGCAGTTATTCTTCGTTTCTTTCCTCTGCTAATGTCAGAAATATATAAGCAGTAACTAGGGGGTTAAACTCCTGGATTTACGTTTTTGTAAGAGAGCTCGGAGTGGAGCTCAGCGCTTTGCAGCAGAGGGAAGCGCTGCGTGACAGACCCGAGCATCCGAGGGAAACGTGGCTCGTAGCAGACATACATGACGGGAACAAGACGCTGTACCAGCTCTTCCAGTTTCTCAGGGACGTTGTGTTTTCCAGCTGTTTACCCTTGAGATGTAAAATGGCAATTTGGCATAGGCTAACAACCTGGTGTGATGTGAGCATCTGCGTAAAAGGCTGCACATATGGAGCATGCCCAGTGATATGAACAGCCTGTTACCCCACCCCCAGCCAATCTAGGAAGAGATGAAATGAACTTTGCACTTGCAAATGTCACTGAATACATTTTGCACAGGATTTTAAAAGGTTCTCTTATAAGCACTATTTTTAACAGCCAAATCCACCCCCAAAAAACCAGAAAGGAAAAAGCCCTAGGTACTTTTCTGTGATCGATCTCGGGTTTTGATCAACTGAAGCATCTCTCACAACATTTACCTGAAGCCTGGCTTATTTTACCTTTTCATCATTCAAGTTGAGATTTTTGGAGGTGGTGTGGAATTTTAGGGGTTTTTTTGGATTTGGGTTGTGTTTTGGGGTTTTTTTGTGTTTGGTTTTTTGTTTTTTTTTTTTACTGGCATGAGAAAAATTGAGAATTTAATTGCAGTAGAATACTTGGAAACAGTGAGGCTGCAAGCTTGAAAGGCAGAGGGAAGAGAAGGAAGGCTCTCACAGCAGAGCATGGATAGGAAAGGAGCAGTGATTCTGCGGTGCTCAGTGTGCACATGTTTTATGAGATCAGTGCCGGGCGCTGCAGCTGCGGACAATAACTGAGCTGTCTGGCTAATGAAGGCCACCTGGATCAGGCTTCTGAAAAGAGCCAAAGGAGGACGTCTGAAGAATTCTGATATCTGTGTAAGCCCTGTGTTTTCATTATCTGTGTATATTATACATATTGCAGCGCGGGAGGGGAAAAAAGACGGTGAGGCAGAGGACAGTTGTTTTCATTCTGATTGAATTAGCAGAACTCTTATTTTGTATGCAGGGAGATGTGGAGGGAAAGCAGAGCTGTCATTATTTATAGAGCTGTTCTGGCATTGTGGCTGCTTCCATTGTGGCGATACGGGGACATGTGTTGAGTCCAGACGGATTTTATTAGTTGGAAGTTGATTTGTGGTCATTTGCATGTTTTGCTGAGGGGCAGAGATGGATACGAGCCATTTGCAGTTCTGATGGGGAAAGTGTGTCAGGTAAAGAGGTTGCCCTAAAATAAAAATGGATAGCAGAGGTTAAATCTGTTAGCAGTGATATTGTGTAATGGTAATTATTGATACTGAATTTGCATTTTCATTATAAAAAGTCTATTTCCTTGCTAATAATGTCACTGTTTAGATTTTTAGTTTTTATGGAGCCATCCTTGAAGCTGCTGTGTGTCCTCCAGCCCTGCACTGCACCACTGCTGTAACTCCACAGAGCAACTGGCTCTGCTTGCTGAAAAACACACAAATAAGAGCACGGGGAGAGTGCAGGAAATAAAACACTGGGGAAGACACCTGCACTTTTGGAAAGTCTCCAGGAAAAAATACTTACCTAGACATAATTTTTCTAAGTGACTTTCCCTTTTGGGCAGTTATTCTCTTTTCAGAGATACAGAATTAAGAGAAAAGGCAAGGTGTATAACCACTTCTACCTTTTTTCTACAACAACTTGTGACATTATTTTTCCTTTCCTTGTGCAGGGTTCGGCGGACTCCTACACCAGCCGTCCATCCGATTCAGATGTATCTCTGGAAGAAGACAGGGAAGCAGTGCGGAGAGAGGCAGAGCGGCAGGCCCAGGCACAGCTGGAAAAAGCAAAGGTAAGATGTTTTTTCATGTCACAGACTCATAAAATGTTCGGCTTTTAAGGATTGTTATCTCTTCCATTACTGACACAAATGTTTTTAATGTGTTGACATATAGCATAAGACCTCTTACAAAGATTTTCCAGACTGCAGCAGAAAATATATATTTTAGGAAAAATTAGTTGGAATCAATTTTCCATAAAAGGCACTTGATTGGCTTATGTATTTCAGAAAAATCTTATTTAAATGTGTGCATTTCTTCTTTTATTGAATATATACATTTATTGCAGAGTCAAAGCTTTGAATTCTGACTGAAGATGTTTGTGAAAGTTTACCCGTGGATCGCTATGGCAATCAAAACTTAGAGTTCTAGAAATCAGCCCTCGAACATCCTGTTCATCTTCCTTCAATGAAGGATCAGTCCCTACAAGTCATATATAAATAGAAAGAATATATTACAAAGGTTTTTGTTTGTTTTTTTTTCCTGAAGACTTCACTGACTTTACAGTTTGTGTGTTAAATGACCCCGTGAGTAACATGCTGTAGGACTTGTTAAGATTTCTCCTTCTATCTCCATACTCCTGGCAGGTAATGACAACTTAGTAAGGAAATACTAAATGAGCTTTAGGTTGTTACTATGTGTTTGTATGTTTTCCACGAGATGCATTTAGGACTGTGAGGGTTTTAGCAGTGGAAGTGTATGGGTTTGTTTTTCTTTCATCTGTGCTGTATCTTTAAATACTATTGCACCTGTAAAAATCATGCTCATCTTATTTGTTATCATTCATTTATCACTTCGTTCCAATTTTTTTTGTATGCTGTCTGCCAGATCTCAGTGTATTACTGTTTTCCATGATCTGTTTTACGTTTTCATCTCTTATTGTTAAATATTTACATACAGTACTGAGATCCCTCCTCAGATCTACCTGATTTGCATTTCTCTGTCACTTTGTCTCTGACTTCCCTCCTCCATTTCGCCTTGTTTTTCTTTTTTTATTTCCCCATCTCCCTCCCATCTCCCGTTGTTTCCTTTTCCGCTGCCAGCTTTGCCTCTGCCCATTTACACTGCCTGTTTTACAAGGGTTCTTCGGAATTTGAGGAGTCCAGATCACTGAGCTGTGCACCTGATCGTGTGGTGAGGGCCAGCTCCGTAAATAATACAGTACTGTAATGCACAAGCAGATGGCTTCGTCAGACCAGAAAACTTGAACAGGGAAGTCAAAGATGTGGTTTTGAAAAATATAATTTAATAAGAGCTCCTAAAGCAGCTTTTTAATGAGACGCTGAAACTTGCCAATCATAGGAGATGCTGGACATCTCTTGGAAGTTGGGTCCTGCTGTCCTGGGATCGGTACAGCAGAAACACCGCAGAAGCAGCCCACTTCTTCCCTTCTGCCTTTATCTTAGAGATGTTGCTGATTGTAATCAGGAGTTTCAGTTTTATCAGGGTTGCTTTTTGCTAGTTTGAGATTACTTTGCTCTTAGGAAAGATGATAAAGGCTGCCCTGAAATTCAGGTGAAGTGTTAAATTTTATCAGTAAATGCACAATCTTTAAAAGAAGAGTTGAAGTAATAATATCAGGGTAGCAGTACAGCACTTGCTGCTGAACTGATGCATCTCTTAGCGATGAGTAAATCTATGTGAGTGTTGCTATGGGAATTTGGCTTACTGATGCTGGCTTGAATGCATGGACAGCCCTTATGTAATATTCATGACCTCTAGCACAGCTGCCATTGTAGTTTGTGGAGAAACTGCTAGCAGACCCTGACTTTTTAAAACTGTATTTCTACACATCAAAGCAATGTTCTCACTCCAGCTGGCACAAGATACAGTCTCTAGGTCTGACACCGCCTGAGACTGTAAGACAACTTGTGAACAGTCAAAGTAGCAAAGGCACTGCCAAAATCAACCTGCTATAACAATGGGTAATTCCAGTCATATAGAAAACACAAAATGAATTATTTAGATCATTTGTGCTTTACAATGGATTAAAGCTGGAACTACATAAACACTTTTGTTTCCCGAGTCAAATGTTAAAAATCATTCCAGGCTGTAGTATGTGGAAATAATTTTATATGGTGGCTGTGGTAGTGTAATATTTAGTCTAGCGTAATATTTAAAAATATATTAAAAAAAAATTATATGCATTTGGTTCTTATGTTTGAAATAAATGTTTAAAAAGAGGTAAATTAAACATAACCCAGTAGAACTAAAATATAACAGGGTGTGCTTTTCTGCCTTTATTGCTGATTCAGTCCCTCACCTCCCTGAAACACGGTAAAATTAACGAAGCGGTAACTTGTGTCGGCGCTGCCTGGCTCCTGTGTGCCCCCAGACCTGCTCTCCACGGGTGTCTCGCCTTCGCCCTGACCGGCTAGCCGGCACAACCAAGTGACGCAGCTGCTTTAACTTTTTGCCTTTTAATATTGTGAGTGGAAGTGTTGATCCTAAATAAAGTCATTACAATTGTATTTGTCACAGGAATTAGAAGAGGATGACATACATGAATAATGCAACGGTGGAGGGAAAATGATAGTGAATTAAGGGTAGATAAAAAAACTGTTGAACTGTGTCACGCACCTAATGAAAACAGTTTAATGACATCCATTTTCCTTCCTTACCGCTAGGCAAATCACCTTAAACTGAAGAGAAAAATATAGTAATAAAGCACACAATGGCAAATTGTTAAGAGGATTTTAAGACTTTTAAATTTGGATTTTTGTGGAATCTAAGTGTGTGTGTGTGTAACATGAAGCCAGAGTATAATATGCATATCTGATACATATCTAAACAGGGAAAGTAAAACCAAAAAACCTTGTAAGAAAATACACATTCTGGCCATTTTTATTTATTTATTTCATGCAAGCATCGCTTCTCTGGAAAATGGTTAAGCATATTTTGCTGACTCACTTTGGCATGTGATTTACTGTAAGGAAGGTGGGGCCACGGGCGCATGTTTGGAGTCGTCCAGGGATGGAAAATTAAGAGGCAACTGATGAGGCTACCTACAGGCCAGCAGCTAATCCCAAGGGAAATAAATCTTCAGATGAAGCTGTTAAGCTTGAAGCTGAGATGAAATGTTCTTGGTTAGAACAGTTCTGCAATGCAAATGCAGAAAGATTGTTTTGGGGAGGTTTTTGTGTTTTGGTTTTTTTAAATAGAAAAAAACCACAACAACATTTCAAGGCGTTGAAGAGGACACCAAGGAAATCCTCCAAGTCCATAGCATGTGGCTATCTCTAGGATAAAGAGGATCTATGTTGTGGCTGAGTAGGGCATGCTAACAATGCCCAAATCTATGGGCTTGTACTGATATTTTACTGAATTTCCTGTGTCCATAAAAACATGAATTGTAAGCATTCACAAGCCAAAAAATAAATAAGAAGCCCAAGGACATTAATTGCTTTTAGTGTTAATATTTTTAAAATTGTAATTTCTGCAGAATAAAACTTTTCAGTTTTGAAGGATGAGTATTAAAAATAAATTATAGTAAGAAAAGATATTTTTTCCATTCCTTGCAAGTATTCAAGTAATTATCTCTTAAAATATTGCACCAAGTGAGAGGGATGAGATCAAAGGAAAACTATGAGGTACAAGTATTAGTGAGACCTTTAAATTCAGTGCTAAACATGCTGAAGTTTGTATATAAGACAGGGGACTTCAGTAATGATTTTTGGCCCTCTCCAGTGCCGGTAAAATCAATTCAAATATTCCATTGACTTATTTTGCCTCAAGCACATCATATATTATGAACTTGTTTTTGGCTGAAATGCAATTAGTGAGGTGGTTTCTAAACCTTTTTGTTCTCTTCTGCAAGAGTGACTTCATTCTTCTCTTCAGTTTCTTCAAGTGTTTAGATTTTGCCTCCTTTTTTTTTTTTTCCCCTTGTCCCACATGGCTTAAGAGCTCTTTATGCAGAGACAATTCTAAATGAGATCTATAGGATATTTTCAACATTATGGAAAATGATTTATTTTTTTTTTCCCCCCAGTTATTTCTAATACATTGGGTTCTGAAAGTGCCAGTTAATAATCCAGGTTCTGGGACTAAGGGACAGCCCTGTGCTCTTCATTCTCTGTTAAGGATTGTTCTCAACATCCTTTGGTCCTGAAACTTCTTAAATGGCTGTCAAAGTAGGATCGTGACCTTCCAGAAGTCAGTAATTGTGTCCAGAATAGGAAATCTCAATTCCTCTCAGCTCTGCTTTGTTTGCATTCCACCTAATGCTCTACTGCTAGCATCCTTTTAGGAGTTTGTTAAAACTTGAAATATCTATAGTCCTAGTTTAAAATACCATTTAAATAATGTTTACATTAAGATGGTGAGCTACAGAAAATTTGATACCAGACATCCCTTTGCTGGCTCTTAGGGAATAATATAAACTGTCATGTTTTCCTTGCTTGATGCGTGCTGTAGTAGTGGTGATGACTTGTGACTGTGAGTAATAACGCCACGTCTGAAGTGTAATGCATTGCCTCCATGCACGGGTTGGGGACCACAGCTTTGAAACATGTAGCAGGCTGGGATAATGCCTACATACCCCTGCAAGGCTGAAGGCATGAAAAAGATTGTCAGATGTAATTATCCAGTGCAGTGTGCCAAGACTAGTTATTTATTTACTCTCAGACAGGTTTTGCAGCCTCTGAATGACCGACCCCATGCTGCTAGCAGGGAGCTGCAGAGCTAGTTAAGGTATGTCTACTTAAGCTGCAGTAGCGTTTTTGACAGACCAGAAGTGCCCATCACCTTGATGTGTGTCCTTATATTATGTCAGCTTGTTCCATCATGGAGACTCAATTTTCTCTCAATTACAAGAACATCGTGGTGCTGAACAGCACCCAAAGCCATAGCAATGTAGGGTAGTACTTTGTGTTAGCTGTTGTGTAAGGTAATATTTTTTTTCATTGATTTCTTCTGATTTGCCCTTTTGTTTTAGAATACTTCCATTGCGTGTTATCATTGAGATAGCTAATGTTGCGTGTCAGAGTTGCTGTGATTACATGGGAGCTGGCAC